AATGGGCACTGGCCCCAGCTTCCTTGTTCCCAGAGAGGGTGGGGTTGGGAGGGGAAGGAAGACTCAGGCCCCAGGAGCTGCCTTCCTGGCCCAGCTCCGGGACCCTGAACTTGGACCAGAAACAGGGAGGGTGAGAGCGCCTGCTGGGACAGGCCCTGGAATGCTGTCCTCCACCCCCCCCACCCCAAGAACTCAGGCCCACCGCCTCCAGGAAGCCACTCCTGCCTGCTCCAGACTCCACCATCTTTTCCTCCTTGGAACTCGGACAGCAACTCAGCTCAAGGAAGACTCCCTGAGGTCGTGCTGGGCCCTGAAGAGTCAAGGCAAACGAGGAAGACATGGCCCTGCCCTCAGGGGTTCCCAGTAGGAAGTGGGACTTGGACTGTGCAGTGAGGAGAGGCCGCAGGTACGAGGATGTCTCCACCTTATCGGGAAGGAAATAAAGAAAATCCCAACCAAGCACCTGAGAGCTTCTCTGAGGAGAGAGTTTGTGAGCTGGGCCTGAGGCAGGGAAGCAGGCGGGGCAGCCCTCAGAGGTGGGCAGACCAAGTATGAAGGCCAAGCATGGCCAAGTGGGGAACCTGTCCTGTATGGCTACGCGTGAGGCCTAGTGGCAGCGAAGCATGATGGTTAGAGGCAGGGCTTAGGTCCCAGTCCACGAACGGCCATCATTAGCTGGACCATAATTGAACCTCTTGGTGCCTCAGTTTCCTCTCTAGAATGAGAACAACAACAGCACCTGATCATAGGGTTGTTGAGAGACGCATGACAGGAGCCTCAGAGCTAGGCCCACAGTGAGGTTTCACTATGCTGCCTTCACTGGTAGGGGGAAGCAGGCTGGGGGCCCCAACCACGCTCTGAGGGTGGGCTTCCAAGGCCAGGTCCTAAACTCCTGAGGGGAAGTCCACAGCAGCTGCTCGGTAAATACTTTTGCAACTCTCACTGCGGTGAGTACCCTCTCCCGGTACTGGCCTACTTCCTAGACTTGGTTTTTCAAGTTACCGTTTAGTGAGCAGTTATTATGTGCCAAATATTCAGCTAGGTTGTGTGTGTGTGTGTGTGTGTGTGTGTGTGTGTGTGTGTGTGTGTCTGTGTTAAATGTTGATAATCTGGTATTAAATTACCAACATTTTACACATGAGAAGACCAAGTCCTGAGAGATTAAGTAATTTGCCCAAGGTCACTCAGCTACTAAGTAGCAGGGTTCTTGACTCCGAGTCCAGTGCTCTGTGCACTACACTGCAAACCGACAATGACACAACCTTGTGGAGAGGTGGGGGTGGTCTAGAAAATGTTCAAGGACACTCCGTCACACACTCACACACTGCCCCCCTCCCACTAAGCTGGAAGCTCTGTGAAAGCTGACTTGTTCACTACTGTATCCTTGACCCTGACCCGTGCCCCTCAGCCCTCCACCTCCCCAGTGCCCAGGCCCTCTCCTGCTATACCCCGCAACTCCCCACGCACGCCAGTGTAACCTGCACTTCTGCGTCCAGAGCCCTAGTCCCCTCCCCTCCCCCTGAAGGTTTTGGCCTCTGCAGGAGGTCAGTCACAGCCTCAAGGCTCAGGGACCCTGGTGGGGGACATTGAGGCCTCCTAGGGAGCTTTTAGAAAATAAAGAGTCAGTGCCAGAAATCCAGATTTAACTGGTCTGGATGGGACCTGGGCTTCAGTATTTCTTTTAAAAAGTGATTCTAAAGTGCAGCAGAGATTAGAACCTGGGTTCTAGGCTCTTGCTTGGAGCTTGCTAGAAATGCAGAAGCTCACGTGTGTACCTTTATTTTGAGAGGCACTGCTCTAGGCCAACCCTGCTCCACAGGCCAGTGGGTGGGGAGGAAGGCCCTCCACTGGAGGAGGCTGGTGTGGTTTTAAGATGCTGGGAGGGGGTACAGTCCAGAGGGCCAAGTGGGAGGACAGCCAGGACCCCCAGCTCACATCCACGCAGTGCTCGGAGGTGGTTGAGTCCTTTCCCTGTGACCCTCATCTGTCCTCTGAGGGAGTCAGGCAGACAGTCTCACACCCACTTCACACTTGGGGAAACGGAGGCTGGGGCAGAGGCTCCACTTGACCAGAACATCCCTCACTCAGCCTGGTTCCCTAGTCCTCACGTCAGTGTGTCCTGGGAGGTGGGGGGAGGGGGGCGATCATCACCCCTACCCAGGTGAGGAACCTGGGGCCAGGGAGCGGAACACAGCTGAGCTTTCTCAAAGCAAGCCCAGTGCCCTGAGGAAGAGGACTCCGGGCACTAAGGGGTTAAGGGTCACTGCTGACCCAAAGCCGCTCTAGGGGCAGTGTCATGGGTGGGCTGCCTGCTGAGCTACTGAGTATCACTTCCTCTCCTCCTCTAAGGGCCTATCTTTGAGTCAGTCTGGAACCAGCCTTAGCAGCGCCCAGGCTGGGTCCCAGGAAACCCCACTGCTTCCGACAGGGCTGCCATGACGAACGGAAGCCTGACTGCCCCCCAGGACCCGCACACTTAGGACTCCTCTCTGAGGGGAATGAGTGCAGGGAGAGAGGCAGGGCCAGAGCCTGTGGTCCCTACACCTCATCATGGGGGGACAAACTCTGATTTGCACAGATTTGACTGAGGGGTGGGGTAAGTGGATCTCAAGCATCCTTGGGGAAGGGTCAGGAGTGAGGGATGAAGGGACCCCCAAGCAGGGAATGAGGCAGACGCTGGCACTGGCCAACCTCATGTCTTCATCCAGAACCCCTCGCCCCCTCCAAATCCCCTGACCTCCAGGGATGAATATGGGGCCTTCACCCTCCCCTGCTGGGGGATCACAGTTGCCATCGTGGTGGGCAGGGCTGTGTTCACTGCAGGGGCCCCCCCATGGCCCTGCTCATCTGACAGCTCTGACCCCCACCCACCCACCCAGGCCCACCTGCTTCATCCCACACCTCCCAGCAAGCCCCAGCAAGGCAAGGAGGAGGGAGGGAGGAGAGGAGACAGGAGAGAGGCCCCCACCCCCACCTTGGCTGGTGTGGCCTCTCTCCAGACCACGAGCCCCCACCCTGGCACAGCTGGGCCAAGGGGGGCAGGAGGAGGCAAGGAGCTGGAGAGGGGGTGGCTGTGCGACCCCCACCCGGGCTTTCTAGCCTGGGGCCTCCCCCTCTACACCACCCCTCCCCTGCTCAGGGGCTCAGGCCTGAGTCTCAGGGACTGTGGGGAGAAGGGAGGTCCTTCCCTGTGAGAGGAGGAACCAGGAGTGGAAGGATGAATGGGGACCCACCGCGAGAGAGATGCCGGCAGCGGCAGCGTGCGGGCAGCAGCTGGTGTCCAAGGCTGCTGTGGGGACAGGACTGGCTGGATGCGCGTCCCTCCGTCCCTCTGTCCATCCAGGGCGGCTCCTCTCCGGGCGGTTCTGAGGCCAGGCGGGCGCTGTTAAAAAGCTTTTTATGTGTGTGTGTGTTAATCACATGATTGCCGTTCACCTGTATTTCGAACAAAGACAGCTCACTGTTTCAAGGCCCCGAACAAGAGTCTGGGCACAGGGAAGAGAAGGGAGGCGGGGGGAGGAGGGTTGGCAGCGCTGGGGGTGGCGTCGAGGAAAACTGGGGGGAGATTGTCCAAGGCCGGCAAGCGAGAGAAAGAGAAAACCCTTATCAAACTCCTAATTCACTGGGCTCCGGGGCCCCAGACACACTGGCCCGATTGTCTGGCTGGTTGTGTGTGCGAGCATGTGTGTGTGTGTGTGTGTTCCAATGTCCACTCCCTCCACCCCCAACATGCCTCTGCCTCGTGTGACTACCTCATTGTGTCCCATTACCCATCCCCACCCCCCAGTCTTTCCCAAGCATGAGGCCTGGCCTCCCCAGACCCCCTTTCCAGCCCTACTCCAGACAGGACCCTCTTGGGGTGGGCCTGGGGCCTGGTCCTGAAGCTGAGGAGCTCTGAACCAGGCCGCCAACACAGCTCAGTCTGTCCCTCCGCACTCACCCCACCCTGCCTTGTCACCCCCAGTTGGGAAGAGAAAGGGCAGTAACCTTTGGAGGAGAGACCTAGAAAAGAGGAGAGTAAGGGGCCATCAGCTGATGGGCAGGGAAGCAAAATGGGAGGGGGTCACTCAGCTTGGGGAGGGGTCCTGAGGGGAGAGATGGGCAGAGAAGCGGGGAAAGGGAGGCAGGGCACCTCCTGACCCTTCCTTGAGAGGGGGAGTAGAACTTCAGGACAATTAGCACTGGATTCTCACACCCACCTTCGCCCAAGAGAGACTGAGCTCAGTGTGGAGAGAGGTGGGTCCCAGGAAGTAGGAACCCAGAATGCCTCTGAGACCATCTGGAAGAGGACCCCTAGCTCCAACCCCATGCCTAGCCTCCTGGGAACTTTAGTCCTGTCTCTCCCTTGAGCCAGGCCAGGCCTTATGAGGGATGGCTGACTGATGGGAAGAGACCAGGGGTGCAGCTGGGCCATGTGCACTGGGGACAGGTGCCCAGCTGCCCCCTGCCTCACCAGGTATGGATCTGAGCTGTCTCTCTTGCCCTGTAAGTCATGGCAGGGAGGGAAACAGGGCTGGGAAACAGGGCCTGGCACCCAGGAGGCACTCAGTAAGATTTGCTAAATGAAGTCATACAGGCCTGCTGCCCTCGGCCCACATGTCCATAGAACCTTCCCCTGTCTTCTCCCAATCTCTCACCTCTCCTTTGCAAATTGCTCATCCCTCTACCTGAGGCAGAGATTCTGGGTCCCCGCTGGGCCCAATTTTCCTGCAAACAACAAGTCTGACCCTCACCCCCAAGTCTTCACTCTCCTGGCCTAACCATCCCCACTTCCAACCTCCCTGACTAATCCCAAACTAAGTCCAAGTGAGGTGGGCCTAGGGCGGCCAGAGCAGGGAGCTGGGGGGTGGGGAGGAGGCTGGGGCGCTGGCGGAGGAGCCCTCAGTGTTGGGGATGAAGGCAAGCGCTGGAGGCTCCACCTTCTGCCCTTCCCTCCTGCTCCCCCTCCCCGCTCCCCCTCCTTCCTTCCCCAGCCCTCAGAGCGCTCAGTACTCAGTCAGTCTCGGGCTGTCCAGCCGGGGTGGTTGGTGGTGAGGATTCAGGCTCGGTCCAAGCGAGGCCTTGGCCTGAGGCTCAGGGCCCCCAGCCCCTCCCTCCTAGCCCAGCCAGCGTCACCCCCTAGCCCCGAGCTGGACCGCACACCTTGGGACACGGTTTTCCACTTCCTAAGGACAAGCCCCAGACTGGAGGAAAAGTCCGAGGAGGTGAGTGTGCGCCCTGCTCTCCCCACCCTGCGCCCAGGAGCCCACAGTGGGGTGAAAAAAAGCTGACACCCTATCTGCCCCCTACCCAACTCCTCTAGGCCCCGTCCGGCAAGGGCAGGCGGAGGGGAAGTGGGAATGTGCGCGAAAAGGTGGGAAATTCCAGGAGCCGGGATTAGAGCAGAATAAAGAGTCCGTTTTTCTTCCCTTCCATCAACAAACCTCCACCCAAAAGGAGGTTTAAAAAAACCCAAACCCACCCACACCAAGAGACGGTTGGGACCAGGTGGTGGGGAGAGGCGGAGGCGGGACGCGCCGACTTGGGGGCTGGCATGTGCTCGGGCCCCGGGGCTGGAGCGGGCTTAGGGAGCTGGGAGGGCCGCCACCTCCGGGCTGCGCCAGAGCCGGACCGGCTTGGCCACGCCGCCCTCGGGCTGAGCGCACGGCCGCCCATCGCGCCCTCCTCCCGTCCAGGTGGGCGTTGGACTCTTCGCGAGGACCCCGGCGGCGGGCCCCGGGGAGGCGGCCGAGGCGGAGGCGGCCGGGGGCGACATGGCGGAGGAGCAGGACCTGTCTGAGGTGGAGCTGAGCCCCGTGGGCTCCGAGGAGCCCCGCTGCCTGTCCCCGGGGAGCGCGCCCTCGCTGGGGCCCGACGGCGGTGGCGTCTCGGGCCTGCGGGCCAGCCCGGGGCCCGGCGAGCTGGGCAAGGTCAAGAAGGAGCAGCAGGACGGCGAGGCTGACGACGACAAGTTCCCCGTGTGCATCCGCGAGGCCGTCAGCCAGGTGCTCAGCGGCTACGACTGGACGCTGGTGCCCATGCCGGTGCGCGTCAACGGCGCCAGCAAGAGCAAGCCGCACGTCAAGCGGCCCATGAACGCCTTCATGGTGTGGGCTCAGGCGGCGCGCAGGAAGCTGGCCGACCAGTACCCGCACCTGCACAACGCCGAGCTTAGCAAGACGCTTGGCAAGCTCTGGAGGTGAGCACCTCTCCTCCGTCGGGGGCCCCCGCGGGCTGGAGCCAGGCTGGAGCCCTGACCCCTCACAGAGGGGGACTGCCTGGCCTTTCACCTGGGGCAGCCGCCTCCTTGGATGGGGCAGGAGTACTGGGTGTGGGGACCGTGCCCACGAGTACCCTCTTGGGGTTCCGCTTGCTCCCTCCCGACTCAGGAGCTCAGAACTCCAGCGACCTAGGTGTGGTCTCCCGACCCGGGGCAGCGAGCTGGACGGCGCCCCCTTGTGGTTGGAATTCTGTCGGTGGCAGGCGGGAGAGCCTGGGTTTCTTTTTGGAGGAGTCAAGACAGGAGGGAAGGAAGGATGGGGTGAGGAGTCCACACTGTAGGCCTTCATTAACCCCCCAACACAGACGTTTAAGGGTGCCACTGCCAGCCAAGTCCAGTGGTGGGGAGGGTGCAGCAGAAACGCTTGGGAAAGAACTGAGGCCTGGGCTGGCCTGGTCTAACCAGAGATGCAGGGAAACTGAGGCAGCCTGACAGAAAACTGGGGGAAGTTTAAGGAAAAGGAGGAATTCAGACAAGAGTCTTTGAAGGGGTGAGGGATGGAGAAGTGTGGAGGGATAGATGTCTGCCTCTGCAGGGCCCCATCCTGTCCCATCTGCCTTCCCTGAGCCTCCCTGACCCCCACCCTCTCCCAAGCTGGGGGCTTCTTCATCCCCTGCGGGAGGGACACACAGAAAAGGCCCCCCGACACACCCTGTCCCAGAGCCACCAGGCTGGCCTGTCTCCCTTCTTCCCTCTACCGGATGGGCGCCATCTTCCCTACCAGCGCCCCACCCAGGGTTGAGTAACCTCCTCCCCCCAAGAGCCTGGGAGCTGGAGCTGAGCACCCTGGCCAGGAGAAAACCTCAGCCACCTGCCTACCCAGCGTCCCTCAGAGTCCCAGGCTCCCTGGCACTGGCCCAAGCCTCTGGGGAAAACATCCCCTTAGAACAACACTCACCTCAGTATGGGGCTCATCCTTGGGGATGTGTGGAGCAGGGAACACCCCCTCAGGAACCCTGGGGAACCAGGAGACGCAGCCCTGGGAGGTCACTGACCCAGCCCACTAGACTGCCCAGGAGTTAGGCCCAGAAAGGCAAAGGAGCCACAAAGGTCACGGAGCAAATCGGTGGCAGAGCCGGGGTGGGAACCCAGGCCTCGTGAGTGGTCTTCCCCCACACTGCCCTTGGTGATAGCAGTGGGTCACCGCTTCACTCTAAGATGTGGTCAGGAGGTTATGGGAGTGGGGGCAGAGGAGAGCAGAGGCGAGGCAAGCCCAGGTTTCAGGAAGCTTGGGATTTGTCAGAGGAGCTGGCCTCCTTTCTGCTGCTGCCCTCCCCTTCACGGGCCCCTAGCACGGTACAGACTGGGTCTAGAAGGCCCAGGGCTTAGACTGGTGCAAGAAGCAGGAGGGCTTCAAGAGACCAAGAGGGATTCACATCGGCTGCCTGGCCCTGTTCCTTGCCATGGGGTTTGCTGGAGGCCTGGTACCCCTTCCTCCGGCCCCTCTCAGCCCTCTCTACTCTGCCTGTCCTCGGAGGGCCCCAGCCCCAGGCTCAGTGGCCAGTCTGCTGTGTGGACCCAGAGGGTCTAGCTCTTCCCAAGAGCAGAGGTCGCAGCAAGCTCCTCTGCCCCAGGTCCATCCAGACCCAGTGCGGCTCAGCCCAGACCAATACCTTTGGTGCCATGGGACAGAGAAGAGCAGGGGAGACAACCAGGAGAGACAGAGCAGGCTGGGGACCATGAGAAGCAGACCACAGTGAGAGCCCAAGGAGAGAGTCAAAGCAAGAATGGACCCCATGTCTCCCACCACGTCCCATCACCATAGATTTGAGATAGGCCCTTCCGTCGTCCTGGTCCCAGTTCTCCCAGCCCAGAAGCCTGAGCTTGAGCTCCATTCAAGAGGACTTGTTCCTGGCCTCCACATTCAAGCTGTGGGCCCAAGGGCCTGGCTGCCCCTGGGGCCAGCCTGGGTTGGGGCAATCAGGAATGTAGGCAAGGCAGTGGATGGCAGGACAATAGCAAGGATCAAAGGCTGTGCCCACAGAGGGTAGGCTACCTGGACCCTGGGTGGGGGCTCAGAGGCACCTGGGTGTGCATGGGCTGGCCAACGGCTCCATCTGCCCCAGGAGCTGCTCCTAAAACCGCCCCCAGACTCACCATTCCCAGGACATCGGGAAGGAGAGGCTTAGGTAGGCAGAACTGGAAAGCAGAGATCCTAAAACCGGACAGACATACAGACATGTGCGTGGTGTGCTGGAAGCAGTCTGGAGTCGGACAGCCCAGCATCCAGCTCCTAGCTCCTCAGTGGCTGTGTGAGCCCCAACAGTCACATTAACCTTCGATGCCCATCTGGGAAAGGACAGTGTGGGTCATGTGGCAGTGGGTGAAGAGAAGACTTGGCGCCAGGAAACTGGAAAGGGCGTCACGGGCTGGAGCCTCTCACCTGGAGACGGGCTCACCTCGTCTCTCCCAGCCCCCAACCCCACAGCTCCCTCCCCCAGGGAAAGCCTTCTTGTGCCCTTGGCCTGAGAGGAGGAACAGATACAGCAGCCAGTGCTCTACCTGGGGAGGCCCCAGTTGGGGTTTTCCAGTTTGGGTGGGGGACCAGTCTACCGTCTCCCGGCCTTATCCCAAACCTTGGTGACCAGGAAGAGAGAGGGCTGAGGTGAAGGTGCCAGTGAGGACGGGGTTTAGAATTAGAGTAGTAGGCGACATGTCGGGGAGGGGTTCTTGGCAATGTTGAGTGAGAGCTGGAGTCAAGGTCAGATCTGAGATTGGTTTTAAGTGGTGGGATAGTTGGGTTTGAGGCTAGGAGAAGTCTGGAGAGCTGAGGCTGAGGTCTAGGCGAGACAGTGGTTGGGGTTGGAGGTGAGGGGCAGAGCTGAGGCTGCGTGAGCTCGGCCTGAGGTTGGGCTAGGGTCGTGGGTGGCAGTGGCCCTGGCGTTGGGTTTCTATTAGGGTAAGGGGGCTGCATGGGAGGCAACAGTGGAATCCCAGTGCCGGAATCTTCCCTCTCTTCTTGCCATTTTCTTTCAATTTGCACCCAGTTGCCAACTGGGCAGAGGGCACAGAGAACGCTGGGGTGGGAGAGGCCTGACGTGGGGTAGCAGTGAGCTCAGGGTCCCCAGCCATCCCAGTAGGAATCTGCTCCGCCCTCCTTGGGCACCTCTCCCACGACACCCTTGGGGCCTGCTCGCCCAGCCCAGGGCCCAGCCCTCAAAGAGGCCTGGCTGGGGGTGAGGGAGCCCCCACCCTGCATCCCACTCTGACTCCAGAGGCCTGGTCTGAGTGCCTATCCTGCCCTGAGTGTGTATACTGACACCACTAGGGTCCGGGCGAGAGGGAGCCTGGGAGAAAGCTGGGGCTCCGGGCTTGCTCAGGAGGGGGCGGTGGGGGAGGCTAAGCTGCAGAGGAATGCTGCTGCCTCTCGGAGGTGCCTGGTGTGACCACCCCCTCCCACTCTGGGGCGGGACGGCTCGGCCTTCTGCTGCCTGGGGGAAGACAGCACCCACTGCGGGGTGAGGAGCGAGAGGGCAGCTGGGGAGAGGCCCTCTGGGCAGACAGACATCCTTGCATCTAGAATCCTATGAGTCTATGTCCTTTCAGAGAGGGACAGGGCCATCCCACTCCCCTCAGCCCCCTCTGCAAGATGCCCCCTCCTGCCTCCTCACCCTGGAGTGGCCAAGCCTTGAGCACCCCCTCCACCCCTCCTGAGGCAGGAGTCGTGGGCAGGGCCACTACTTTCAGGGCTGCCCTCCATGGGCTCGTCTTGGGGCAGGGAGAGGGTCTGTCTGCCCCCATCCCAGCTTCCTCTACCTTTGTCAGCTCCTGAACTAAGATATAAGATCTTCCCCAGGAGGCTGTGGCCCCCTTGCAATGAAGAAGACTCAGACTCTGTCCCCTTCGGCCCCCAGCACACTGGAATTCACAAAATCAGTATCCCAGGGTTGACAGACCCACCCTTGGTCCTCCTGTCCAACCCCCCCACCCCAAGCAACATTAGAATACCCGCAATACAATACCCGTTGCCTGTCCAGTCGGTTCTAACTGATAGCAACCCTATAGGACAGAGTAGAACTGCCCCATAGGGTTTCCAAGAAGCAGCCGATGGATTCAAACTGCTGACCTTTTGGTTAGCAGCCGAGCTCTTAACCACTGCACCATTAGAAGAGCACCTATTTTTAAGGCAGGGGGCCCAGCCATGCCCTAGGCCCCATGCAAGGCACTTGACACCCATAATCTCAGCCGACCCTCCCACCAGTGGAGTGGGTATTACCATCCTCCTTTGCTAGATGAAGGAACTAAGGCTCAGAGAAGTAACTTGCCCAAGGCCACACAGCTGGGAAGTAGCAGAGTCTGGGTTCAAACCCAGTCCTTTCTGAAGCCCAGGCTCTTCCCCCCACACCATTCTGCCTCGGTTTGCATCCCACCAGTGTCAGGGAGCTCACCCACTAACAAGGCAGTTCATTCTACTTCAGACAATTTTAACAACTAGTTTTTCCCTTCCTTGAGCTTATACCCATCTCCTTGCAACTGCAATTCTTACTTCTAACTCCATCCCCTGGGGCTGCCAGGACCAGCAGGCCAGCCTCTGACTCCAGCCCACAAGAGATGTGGGGGCAGATGTGAAGGAGCCTCACAGCTTCCAGTCCATACACCAGAGGGCACAGCGCCCACCCTGGGCCTGCCCCCGGCTCCCATCCGAGGGCCGAGCCCAGGGACTCTGGCACTCATGCCGGCCCCTCTGCGGTACCCCCTCCCCAGGCTGCTGAATGAGAGCGACAAGCGCCCCTTCATTGAGGAGGCTGAGCGACTCCGCATGCAGCACAAGAAGGACCACCCGGACTACAAGTACCAGCCCCGGCGGCGGAAGAACGGGAAGGCGGCCCAGGGGGAGGTGGAGTGTCCGGGCGGGGAAGCTGAGCAGGGCGGGGCAGCCGCCATCCAAGCCCACTACAAGAGCGCCCACTTGGACCACCGGCACCCGGGAGAGGGCTCCCCCATGTCAGACGGGAACCCTGAGCACCCCTCAGGTAAGCATGGCAAGGGGGCTGGGGAAGGGGCCATGGAAGGAGGAGAGGGCTGGATGGCTGGCAGTTCTACCCATACTCTGGGTCCTGGAGAGGGCTCACCAGTGCGAGCAGGGGTGCGGGGGCCCCTGGGAGCTTAGTGGGGTCTCAGGTGCTGGGGGAGGCGGTCAGCAAGGGCCAGTTAAGGGGCCGTGGGGGCCATGGGGTGGGAAGGAGCTGGGTGGTCACAGCAAGGAGGGGTGGGACAGGATATTTGAGAAATGCGGAAAGGAGCTCATTGCCTCTGGTTCACCGCCCAGTCCGATGGGGGAGAAAAGGCATGTGATGTCGAGCACATGCTGTGGGTGGGCAGACAGGCTATCTTGTTTAATTCTCATGGATAGTGACAGTTAACATGGCCTGAGCCCTGCTGGGTGCCAGGCACTGTGCCAATGGCCATATGTATATGAATGCATGCAATCCTTATGAACAGTGTAATGATGCGGGAGCTGCTGCCTCGTTTTACAGACAAGGAAACTCAGTAACTTGCCACACAACTGAGCTCTGAGCCCAGGAGGTTTGGCTCTGGGGCCTCTGCTTGGCGCCAGGGAGAGTGCTGAGCACAGGGCCTGGCCCACAGGGAGAGTGTGATGAGCAGAGCTCCATGCCTTCAGGGGACATGCTCTGAGCACCTGCTGTGGGCCAGGCCCTGGAGAAGACACTAGGAACATAAACCTGGGACACCATGGTCCCTCCCTCAAGGAGCCCACAATCTAGAGGGAAAAGCAGGAATGGAAACAAGGGAACTGCAGGCAGGAAGTAACTAGTGCACAAGGTCCCAGGCAAGATCCCGAGGTGACATGACCATCTGTCCATCCACCTAATCAGGCTCTCCAGAAAAATCCAGCTGTCTGCCAAACTCTGGTCAAGGAGGGCTTCCAGAAGGAAGCCATGGCTTGTTGGTATTGTTTCTGTTTGATCGATAAGGAAACTGGTTAAGACAGGGATTTGCACAGGGTCACATAGAAGTGACAAAGCTGGGACTCAAACCCGGGCAGGTCTCTCAAAGTCCAGGGCCTTGACTGATGCAGGACTCAGCACTGACTCTGATCTGATGGAGGAGGTTCAGGCCCGCCCTCAAGAAGCTCCTGGTCTCCTAAGACCATGGCCATGTTCTCTCTGTGATGGGATCCCCAGTCCAGCCATCCCTCCCCAACACAGCCCTCACAGCTTCAGGGATTCAGGGACACCCACACACGAGAAGGCCATGTGCAAAACCATCACCTCAGAATAAAACTGGGGGCATGGGCTTTTTCTCACCCTCTAGGCCCAGTCCACACACCCCTCATCTACAAGACCTTCCCCAAACCCCCAAGGCAGAGTGGGTGCCACCTCCCCTGTCCCCGAGTCCTTGTAGAGCCGTCATCACAGCCCTTTCGATGCCACACTTCAGTCATGTGGTGTCTGGGTTGCCCCGTAAACCACAAGCTTTTGAAGACAGGGTCCTATTTTATTTATGTTCATATCCCCAGCACCTGGCACAGTGCCTGGCATTGAGCAGTGCCCCTGCATGTTTGCTGAATGAATAAGTGAATGAGAACATGAGCGATGAAGGAACAAGGCTGGAGTGCTCCCCTGTGGGGGCCACACAGCAGTTATGGAGCTGGAAATGATCAGTGGGGCTAGAGCAAGGGGTGCTGCAGCTGAGCCTGGGGAGGAGGACTGGGGCTGGAGGGGTACAGCACTGTTTGGGGCCAGGCCCTGGCAGAGGCCCAGGCAAGTCGCAAACGGTGAAACACGAGGCAAGTGATGAGGGTGGGAGAGGCTCCAGACAGCCAGCAGAGGCTGGAGAGAGAGCAGCAGGGCGGGGCTGGCGGGCCAGACCACAGCAGGCCTCTGCAGCTAAGCAGGTGGGGAGGGCAGGGAGGGAACCCCGCTTCAGGGGATGTGCGGAAGAACTTTCCAACCGGAAAGGCTCTTCCAAATGCAGCAGACCTCTCCAGGAGATGCTCGACAGAAGGGATTCCTGCGCTGGGTGGGAGGCGGGACCCATCCCTAAGACTGGGAATTTTGTAAGCAACTAGGACCACTCCAAGACCATTCTATAAACAAATGCCAACTCATGCTGCCCAAACGTAAACGCTTACAACATGGTGACCAGACCTGAAGGTGAGCCATCGGAATCCATTTGTGCCATGTGCCTTCTGACCTGTACCCCCCTTTCTCTCTCTCTGTCTCCTCTCCCTCTCTTCCACCCAGGCCAGAGCCACGGCCCACCAACCCCTCCAACCACCCCAAAGACAGAGCTGCAGTCGGGCAAGGCAGACCCCAAGCGGGATGGGCGCTCCCTGGGGGAGGGCGGGAAGCCCCACATCGACTTCGGCAACGTGGACATCGGTGAGATCAGCCACGAGGTAATGTCCAACATGGAGACCTTTGATGTGGCTGAGTTGGACCAGTACCTGCCGCCCAATGGGCACCCGGGCCATGTGGGCAGCTACTCGGCAGCTGGCTATGGGCTGGGCAGCGCCCTGGCTGTGGCCAGCGGACACTCTGCCTGGATCTCCAAGCCACCAGGTGTGGCTCTGCCCACAGTCTCGCCACCTGGTGTGGATGCCAAAGCCCAGGTGAAGACGGAGACCGCGGGGCCCCAGGGGCCCCCACACTACACTGACCAGCCGTCCACCTCTCAGATTGCCTACACCTCCCTCAGCCTGCCCCACTACGGCTCCGCCTTCCCCTCCATCTCCCGCCCCCAGTTCGACTACTCTGACCATCAGCCCTCAGGACCCTACTATGGCCACTCAGGCCAGGCCTCTGGCCTCTACTCGGCCTTCTCTTACATGGGGCCCTCGCAGCGGCCCCTCTACACTGCCATCTCTGACCCCAGCCCCTCAGGGCCCCAGTCCCACAGCCCCACACACTGGGAGCAGCCAGTATACACAACGCTGTCCCGGCCTTAAAGGGGACCCTATCGCCACCACCTCCTGCCAGGCGCCTCCTGGGTACCACACCCTCTCCCCAACCTTCGCGTCCTGTTCCTTGCCCATCTCGGACCTGGCGGTGGCTGTGCAGGAGACTGCAGAGGCTGGCAGCTGAGGGAAGGCTTTCTGTTTGGGTGGCCCGCCCTCGATGACCCCACCCCGCCCCATCCAGGCTCCAGCCTGGGCAAAGCCCTGGGCTGCTAGGCTGGGCCGAGGAGAAGGAGGTTGACTGGCATCCCTAGACTGAAAGACGAGGGGCTGCACCTTCCCCCAGGAATGACTCTCGACCCCAGGACCTGAGGAGGACCCACTCACCCACCCTCCGTGGGGAGAAAGGGCATCCAGGGTTGGATAGGAGTTGGAGGCTTTGCCACTCCTGGGCACGTGTTTCCTCTCTCCTGGGCAGTGAGGGGCTTCACACGACCCTGTGCCACGATGCCTAGGGGCCAGGCCAACTAGAGACCACGTCAGTGCCTGCAGCTGGCTCTGTCTGCCACTCGGGGGCCAAGGACAGCTCGGAACAGCCTCATGGGGTGAAGTGGGGCTGGAGGCCCTGTAGGGGTTCTCCATGTCCCTTCAATGCCCCTCCTCTCCTGAACACAGGAAGGAGTTGGCACAGAGGCCCCCCAGATCCAATTCTGTGCCAATAACCTCATCCTTTGCCTAATGGAGACTGAGAACCCCAGTCCTCCTCCAGGCCAGCCTCCTAGGCCTCGGGGCACATCCCAGAAGGTGAGGCAGGGGCTCTGGGAAAGCATTCAGAGACAATTCAGGGAGCTTCCCCTCTGGGCTCCTGTCCAATGCCCTTCTTCCCTTAGCCAGGCTCTCTGGCCCCTGCTCTGTCAGCCCCAACTCCTGGGCTCCCTGAAAGTTCTAGCTGCTCAGGCCTAAACCCTGGGTTCCAGGAGGAGGCGCAGGCCCCAGCACCCAGGTGGCTGGCAGCAGGCTGAAGACACTAAAATCCTGCCATGTACATTCTGCCCTTGCCTTTTGCCCATTGCCTCTCAGTGGTATCTGAATAAAATATGTAGCTATATCTGCCCCTACTTTCCTGTTCTGCAGCCCCCACGATCCACATGTAACTCATTAGTGTCCCCCTCTTATTTATCTCAGTAGCCCCCTCCCCTCTTCCAGCTACTCCAGCCCCTATTAACTCCACATTAAGCATTCCACATAATAAAAGTAAAGGTTCCAGTTACCTGCTTGGTGGGCCTGGCCTGGCCTGTCTCTTGGTATCTTATCCCAGTACCTGTGCTTCCTCAAACACTTTCTGGAAGGAGCTAGGGGTGGGAGGCAAAGGATAGATGATCCAAAGTTCTCCTCTTCTCCCCTAAGAAGGTGCAGGCAGTGGAGTGGGTTAGGACAAGCGGGGTCAGTCTATTCTCAGGGACTGAAGTCTCAGATGGGTGCCTTTCCCCGCCACCCAGCTGCACTGGCCCTGCAGATGGTCGCTCCACTCCTCACTGGCTCAAACTGGAACTCAGTGTGAGCACCCGCCAAGCAGCCTCACTGCTCACCCAGCAGAGAGGAGCTAGAAGAGAATCCAAGGGGCAGGTATTTGAAGAGAAAGTTCCTGGGTGGTGCAAATGGTTAGCACGCTCAGCTGCTAACTGAAAGGTTGAGGTTTGAGTCTACCCAGAGGTGCCTCGGAAGAAAGGCCTGGTGACCTACTTCTGAAAACCCTGTGGAGCACAGTTCTACTCTGACACACATGGGCTTGCTGTGAGTCAGAACTGACTCGAAGGCAGCTGGGAAAAAAAAAAATGTGAAGAGAGGAGGTGGGGTCAAGTCTGACATCTTGTCTGGAGCCAGCAGGCCTGGTCCTTCTCTTGCTGTAACCCTCAACTTGCCACCTCATCCACGTATCAGTCCATTTAGGATCTAGCTGAGTCCTCACAGCACCGCCCATGTCTCAACCAAGGACGTCAGATCAGACACACAATCTGTCCTTAAGCGCTTACTCCCCAAGAGCACTTTCCTCAGCTCTTTCTAATCTGCCACTCTGCCTCACAAGCACACAGCCCCAGGGACGGGGGAAATCCCTTCACCATCTTGCTCCATGGATAGACAGCTCTGCTGCTTCGGAGTTCTTCCTTCTTCCCAGCCAGTATCTGTTTGCTCATAATAACAGTGGTAGCTACGATTTACTAAGTGTGCCCCAGGCAAGCGCTTTGCTAAGTGCTTTATGTCATTCAGGCCTGTGACAGCAGGGGTCCGATCATTATTCCCATTTTCCAGATGGGGAAACTGGAGCTTTGAGAGCTCAATGCCAAGTAGTGCTGGTGCCAGAATCTGAACCTGGCTGACTCATTTGTGTTCTAACCCATCATCTCTTCCACCTGCCAATCATTTGTGGGCCCTACTTCTACTTTTGGAGTCCCTGGGCACTGCAAACAGTTAACACACTTGGCTGCTAACCTTTCGGTTAGTTTGAGACCACCCAGAGGTGCCTCGGTAGAAAGGCCTGGTGATCTACTTCTGAAAAACCAGCCACTGAAAACCCTATCGGGCACAGTTCTACTCTGACACCCATGGGGTCACCATGAGGTGGAGTCAACTTGATGGCAATTGGTTTTTTACTTGTGCTTTTAATCTGGAGTAGGGCTTCTTTCACTGCGCCAGAGCCGATGCTTCCCCAGCCCCCTTATCTTTTCTCCTACCCGTGGTCTCCAGCCCCTCACTGCCTAGTCAGGACGTGGGGGCCACCAAGATCTAGTTCAGTGGCCAAACTCCCTTGATCTGGAAACTGGACCACGTGAGCTCTTTGGACAACTTCCCCAAAACTGCTGGCTCCTGTCAAGCTTGGTGGTAACTGCAGACCCCTGCCCTTTCACATCGTAAATATCTGCTGCCAAGTCAGACCACCCCCAGCTATATAAAGCTGTTGTTCTGTAGCAAAATGCAGGATTTTATGTTGATCTTTAACAGATGTCATCTTGTCGGATTTGACCCATTTTCCCACCTATATTAGATCTTTCGGAATTCTGGATCCAACTTGTTAGCTTTATGTATCTGTAAACTTGAAGGTCCTCATTCAAGTCACTAATAAAAAAGAGTTGAAATAAAGAGGGCTCTGTGTGCACCACTAAATACCTCTCTCCATCACCATTTCTATCATCAGCACCCTTAGGGAAAATTTGTCTAATTAGTTCCAAATCCATCTAATTATAACACCACATAGTACCTGTTTCCCCATCACAGCCATGTGGAAAGACGGCCCAATGTCTTGCTAAAATCAAGATACACTGTATCTGTGACATTCCCCGGATCTACAAGACCAGTAGCCACCCACAAAAGGACATTTGGTTTATTTGGTGATACTGATTCTTAGAAACCCTTGCTAGCTCCCAGAGGTCTCCTCTTTACTGAGTGCTTTCAAATGTGTAATAACCTATTCTAGAATTTTGCTAGAGATCAATCAGTAAGTAGTAACTTGGCATGTTCATGATTTTTACAACCTACTCTTTCCCCTTTATTGCAAAGTAGGGCATCTGTCCATTTCCAGCCTGTTCACTGCTCCTGGTCTCAATGGGATTGTGGAGCTGGCACTGGCAGGGCGTGGAGGGGGGCGTGCATCAAGAAGACACTGCCTGCCAGGACCCTGCGGCCCATGACTGACTGAGATCACTGAGGATACTGGAGGAAGGGACCAATGACCCCGGGGGAGTCAGAAGATTTGGGTTGCACTCATCACTGAGAGCAAAGGTTCCAGATGTGCTGAGGCTGCAGTAAGGCAGTGCCTCCTCTTGTAAGGCGAGAAGGGGCCAGGTGCTTCTGGAAAGGATTGAAGAGACTATACCCACATGCTAAGATATAGACCGAGTAGTGGTGGCAGGTGATTTTTCCCTCAAGAGAAGTCAAAACCCAGGTCTGGCCAGCTGAGTGGTGAGGGACTCCCTGAAAGACAGCAGAATGCGAAGGGGGAAGTGAGAGGAAAACACCCGTTTTCTCTATCTCCCCTACACCCTAGCCCTAAGGGTTAACCCCACTCCTTCTCCAGTCCCTTCTCTCCTCCCCTGCCCAAACCCCATCTCCCTTTAATCACATCTGATACCGAGCGGCCCAGCAGGAAACAAAGAGACCATTTAGCGAAATGGGGCCGAGAAAGTGACCCCCGTGCTCTGGGGCGGCAGCCTGGACTCCGGCACAAAGGCGGCATTTCAGAGCTGAAATTTCAGCACCCAACTTGATTAAAGGATTCCACAGGCCTGGAGGAGGGTGGAAGGGGTGCCAGTCCACTGCTCCCTGAATTAACCCTTCTCCAGACCAGAAAGCACCCCGGCCGCTCCTCCCTGTGGGTGCTTCTTACGCCTACCCTGTCCAGGGCACACCATGGCCAGGCCCTGCCTCGGGCAGAGGCTTCACCAGCCCTGGAAGGGGAGCTGGCAATAGAGGCCGAGGCTAGACTCTTCAGGGAGTCAGTTCTCCCTTCTAGCTGTTGGTGTCAGTAACTACTACGCTCTCCCTGTCCCAGCTCTCCCTTCTAGCTGTTGGTGTCGGTATGTATGCTCTCCCTGTCCC